AAAAAAAAAAAAGGCAGAAGTCTTGAGCATGATTAAACGTGAGGAAGAAAAAACTGCCTGACAGACCTGTTCACTTTTTGTATATGTATAGCTAATTTCATCTTCTGTTTTGTTTGAAATGGTTTCAGTATTTTCTTCCTTTAACAGCCTGACAAATTTAATTAGATTAAAAGATAAACTTATGTTCAGTACAGAATGCTTACTGAGAACAGCAAGCAAAAATCAGATCTCTTCTCTTGGTTCAATATTTAGTTTTTGAATGTGAACTTTTTTATATTGTGGTCAATAAAACCTGTGGAGATCTTTCTCTAGAAACTATTGCTTAAATTTATACATATGCATTTAAACTATTAAAGAGTACCTACTAGATGTGGAAAAATGTGTATAAATTTGACAATATATATTGATCTGAGTTGCTGAAAGGCCTGAAGCCTGTACTCTTCCTATATGGCTGCTTGAACTTCAAAAGTAGGTTGACATGTTGACCTTTAAATATTGGTGATTTCTAAAAATTTGTTCTAGATGTCTGAAGCGTTGTGTTAGCCCTCAGTTTCTCATGGCCAGCATTTAAGACTATCTGGCCTAATGGTCACTACTTTGTTGACTAATTAATCCTGCAATTCTTGTGCATGGAAAACTTAGATGAAATGGGTTGTGTGCATAAAGTCCCATTCTTGCAGCCTTTGATTCGTGAAGTGCAGATTTTAGCCAAACTCAAACCTTGTACGTTTGACGCTTCGGTCTGAATGAATCTTAGCCAGAGAAGAGAAATGCAGTGAGCTTTAAAACATTTCATAAGGTGGTTAAAATTTTCAAATTAATTCATTCTAAAAGGTCAGTGATGTTGGAACCCTGAGACTAAAGGTCATAACTAAAGCAAGGAGGAAGTTGTCTCATTTGAAAAATCTGCTTCAAATAGTCTTAAGATTTATAATGTATGAAATGTTAAATTGGAGCTATTTTTCCAGGGTTTCTGCTACATTTATTGCAACAATGCACTTTTGTACATAAAACTGTCCTTTGTAAATTCTGTACCTACTTGCCACAATGTTTATAGAAAGCTTTTTTTCTGAAGTTGTGAAGAACTGCAACACTGGTGACTGACTTTATTTTCAGCTCTTCATTGTATTTAAAATAGTCATGTGAACATCAAAGTACGGGTTGGAATTAAAAATAACATAGCAAAGATGTGCTGATGAAACTGAAAATGTGGTGTCTTGTTTTGAACAATAAAGTTTGACATGAGGTTTATGTGCCCATTGCCCGGCCTCTGGGCAGATGGCATAAATAAATGCAGCATGTTTAAGCTGCCTTTGGTAGTAGACAGCATGTACAGCCCTACTTGTTCATAATAAATAACCCAGCAAAGGTTCATAGTAAAACATACACTTGACTAAAGCAGATGTGCTTTCAGCTGAACTCTGACGGATCAGAGGAAATGAGTTACTTAACCTGAGACCCACTAGCAAAAATGCTCTGGTTTTAATCAGTGACTTTGCACCTACAGGTTTCAGAGTGGTAGCTGTGTTAGTCTGTATCAGCAAAAACAAAGAGGAGTCCTTGTGGCACCTTAGAGACTAAGGAATTTATTTGGGCATAAGCTTTTGTGGGCTAGAACCCACAAAAGCTTATGCCCAAATAAATTCCTTAGTCTCTAAGGTGCCACAAGGACTCCTCTTTGTTTTTTCACCTACAAACTGTCACCAAAAGTTCGCATTTGTTCTCTACGATCATGGTGCTGTGCATAGGGAGAGGAAGTCTTTAACTGTACATTTTTACTGCAGCGTTAATCTATCCCCACATACAAATCTCTGATCTGAGTTTAGTGGTGCTTTCAACCCAGGCTAGCTGGCCTATCCTGGAGTATTGGCTAAAACCCAACTGAGGCTTTCAGTCAGGCAGGTAACCCACCTACTTTATAGTGAAGAGGCAGGTAAAACCACTTGAGGGCTGATAGTCCTCCAGTGCTTTCCCACACTTCCCCTTGTATGCCTGGAAGGACAGACAAGTTCTCCCACAATTCACTGGAAAGGAATCAAGTGGCTCTGCTACTGTAAAACAAAGAACCATGGGACAAGCCTACTGAAGTACTAGTGACACATACTGCTGGCTGCAGCATCAGTGAGAGCTTTGCAGTGTGGTGGTTCACACCTGGGCCAGGCTAACCTGGGTGCTCAGGCCTGGCTGCTGATTACTTGAGATAACTAGTGAAGACATCTCCTAAATAGATACATTCAGAACCATAGAGGCAAGGCCTTGTGTTGTCTGCTATGCTTCAGAATTTGTCATGGAATTGACTCCTCAGTTTACCAATTAAAATGGAGCAATTTAATCTCAAAGTATTGCAATTGCAATCTCGAGAAGTTAAGGTTTTTAACTTTGTCTGTTTCCACTAGAGGGAGTTCTGTGATTGTATTATTTACCTCCTCTGACAGTGCAGTTCAACAGACTTGTTCTTTATTCAGTTCCTTTTCTTTATTCCTCAAAGAGAAAAGTTATACTTGTTATCAGGATGACTGATTCATGCTCTAAAGTGTTTTAGTAGGAGAGAGAAACCTATAAAAGAATGTGGTATCTATCTTTTACAATTAAATTTACACTTTAGGTGTTTTTTG